GTTTGGGGGGGGGGGGGAGGGAGGAACACCAAAAGAGCTGTATCATGATGCATGAAAGAGGGTTAACTGGAAACAACACTAGATATGCGTGGGTTGGCTGAAAATGACACTGAAGATCTTTGGAATGACCAGTAACAACACTGAAAATCTTCGGAATGACCAGAAATGACACCAGAAAACTGTTGTCAGTGGCCAGAAACAAAAAACAGGTCAGCTTTGTTATTTTGTCTCAAAAAGGGAGAATTCACAGATTTTGACTATATTTTGAAATCCTAGGCAATTCTAACATAAAACAAGAAAAAAAATCACAAAAGCAACAGGTCCAACAATGCACAAAACAACAGGAGTAAAGAAGGGATTTTGTCCCCATGAGTAATAGTGGCTGTAATTTTCTGGCAAAGGGCCACCACCATTCAAGGCTACATGCAATAGCAAATCGTAACGTAACCAGATTTTCATGGTCAAAGGTTTATCTACATTCATAAAGCCGTTATAGCATGACATTGATAATTGCAGTCAATATTGTCCAAAGCTGCAGTTATTTTGCTAGATAAGAAGAGCCTCAATCATAAATGCTTGTGATGAAGTGTTGTATTCTCACCCCACTCAATCCTAAAACAGTGTGCATATGGACATATTAACAAGTATGGACATAAATGAACATGGATGCGGACAATTTAAATTGTCCCATAGAATTGAAGTATCCTGGCATGTACTTAATTCTGACTCAGATGTCAATTATGCATCCAACCCAATCATAACTCCTTTGTTAAATCTCCATTCTTCGAAGAATACACACCACTTAGCTAAATATGTAAAATTATGAAATAAAAGAAAAAAGGAAAAAATACTGCATTTGCATCTTTTCAAGTCACAATTATTAACTACTACACTGAACAATAAATTTTTTCAAACTTTCAACTTAGATATGCATTCAATTGCTCAGGTTAAAAATGACTAAAGTCCTTTATGCAGAAATATCAATTTCAATGTGACAATAGCATATTGTGTCACACTAGTCTAGGTCATATTGATGTTTGATTTTGAAACATTTTATTTTTGGGGGTAAGACCATGTGGTGACTCCACCCCTCTGGTGAGGACTGATCCCTGTTTGGACATCGGCCTGTCCCTGGCCACAAGGTGCTTCTAATGAGTTTCAACTTCAAGCCTTTGCACTACAAGTAAAGTACACCCACATATGGAGCTCAATTTGCAAATTGAGCTACACTTTGTGGTTGAAGTGTGTTACTTTTATTCTGACATGGGATATAAGTCCAATCAATAACCTCACTCTGCAAACATAGGCAAATGCTCAAAACTATATTTTCATTTCTTTTTGGTGTCTGTGTGGCATTGTCAAATTATAAATAAATAATGGGATATAAATAGCAAACCTCAGCTTCCTTTTGACCCTGTCTAATCTGAACCAATATTTCTTGTGTCTTCGATATCCTCTCTTTTTCATCAGAAATCTCTTGCTGCAGCTTAGCTTTCTGTTTTTCCCAAGCTAGAAGTTTCTTTAAGCATTTTTTCTCCCTTTTTGCAACTTCTAAGCAAGCTGTCACCGACTCTGATGCGCTTAATTTGGAAGCCTCCATCTCTGCTTTCATTTCTGCATTCTCAGTTTCTAGTCTCCTCACAGCTGCATTTGCAAGGTCCAGTTGACCACTGGCCTTTCTCAAAGCATTCTCCATCTCCGAGAGCCTCTTCATTGTTGTGTCTTCAAGCACCGGTTTCCCTTTCTTCAATTTTTGAGTCTCCTCTCTTTCCATCCGCAACATTTTGAGCTCAGTCAGATCACTGCTTAACTTTCTTGCTGCCTGCATTGCCTTCTGATGAGCCCAATCCTTCCGTTCGTTAACCTGTTTCTCAAGATCCTTAATCTGATGAAATAATGTAACTATCACCTCATCCTTCTGATCTTCAGCCACAAGCTCCAAATTCTCATCAAGATTCAAATCACGAAATTTACTCAGCACCGAATTCACAGCATCCTGGCTATCAAGATTCTGTGAATCTCGTCCGGACTGCTCCGCCCGAGTTTCCGTCCCGGCCACAGCCGTAGAATCCAAATTAGGTGCAGCACTCCGGCCAGGAACAACCTTTGCCTGTGCCTGCAATTGCTTAGAGTTTGCCCTAAAACCAGCAGCAAACATAGCAACATTTCTCTTCAACAAGGACTTCATTGAAGGAGAAAGATTAAACCTCTTAGGGAACTCAATGTCTCTTTGCAGCTGCAAATTCATCTCTGCACCACAAGAGAATATCCCATTCACAGGAAATTCCAACCCTCCCCCATTACCAAATCCCCACCCCCCATGGAACCTACACAAAGCCGGGGCCATAACACCAACCGAATTCCCACCACCCTCACCACCGGTGGCCACCGGCGCCGCGGGGCTCCCGTTACCGGGCACCGGAATTTCCATAGCACTAGCCCTCCCAACATGAAGATCACTCATGAGCAAACACCACATGGCATCCCCTTTGCTCAAATGAGGCCTCACCTGTTGCAACAAACACACCATACCCGCCAAAGAGTACTCCTCCAACTGCCTCAAATCAGAGAACACAGGCTCAGACTCATCCAAATTCCCACTATTATTATTATTACTATAACCACCTCCACCCCCACCTACACCATCACTATTATTACTATTCAAAAACGCTAAGGAATTATGCAAAATATTGGTGAGCACATCCATGCCACCATAGCAATGCCCATTGCGCAGTATCGCCTTGACAGCAACGTCCTCATCATATCCCAATGCAACGAGCTTGGACACAGCTTCGTTGTATATAAACTCCAAGTTTTTCAACAGAATCTCTTCCAATTGTTCCTCTGTACAGTAACCCCACCCGGTTTCCTCAACATTAGGGTTAGAATTCGGTATCTGGGGAGAATCGTTGAGACCCAGATGGTATTTGAAGGGCTTGAGACCAGTCTCAGCTATGGATTTGGATATGGCATCTTTGTCGCAAGAATCGGGGTCTGGTTTCGCCGATCGGGGTCTCCGATTGGCTCTGATGTGTTTTTCCCTCATGGTGCAACCCATGTTGTTTTCTTTGAATTTTATGGAAAGATGAATAAAGGGGTTGTGGTAGGAGGGATTGGGTGTGGGAAAAATAGGATCAAGATCGAAGCTTGAGGGAAGGGAGGGTTACTGAGAGAGGTGGATGAGGATCGAGGGTAAGTGGGAGAGAAGAGAGCAATTGGATTGTTGAAGAGAACAGAGAAATTGATTGATGGGTTATTAGAGAGCTCAGTGCTGAGAATCAGAACCTCTTTTGGTGCCTGCCCTGCCTCTGGATAGGTCTTTTCTTTGCACTTGTTCAAATGCTTAATCCTTCCATTCAATCACAAAGGTAGGTTTTTTTTCCTTTTATTTTATTTATCTATTAGAAAATTTATCAAGAAAAAAACAGTAACGATAAAATATTTGTATAATATATTATTTGGTTTGAAAGGAAAAAGAAAAAAAAGAGGAAAAGAAATTATCTTTTTATTGTGTGGTTTATTTAGATAGAAAAGTGATAACAAGAATATATATATATATATATAGATGTTATAATTACACTAGTATAATTTTTATTAAGTATTACACCGCTCAATAACTTTATATTAATTGTAAATTTTGTAAATCCAACCGTTATATTGAAAGTTCATATCATTTTATACATGTATATCAAATTTTGTTAAAATTGAAAAACAACTTGAAGGTAATCAAAATGTTCATATTTCAGTATATTTTAAAATAAATATATTACATCAATTTTATTTTATAAAAATGAAGTATCAAATCATCTTGAATTAATATAAAATTTTGTACATATGATCTAAGAGATAGGAACTTTCAATTTAACGGTTGAATTTATAAAATTCATATTTAATATAAAGTTATTGAGCAGTGTAATACTTAGTAAAAGTTACACCGGTATAATTATAACCCCCTTTTATATAT